TCTCTCTTTCTACTGCACATGTTTGTATTAACTTGTCGTATGTCTAACACCCCATTTCCATAGATTAGATCGACCTACTTTAGATCGACCTAACTCCCTGGGGGTTCACGCTAAATAGCTGTCAGCCGGGCGGACACGAAAGTTAATTACCCCCTTACAGCTTGTAGTAGGCGGGACGGACATTTAAGTCGGATTATCTGAAAGTAATCTAGTGAGACTCCCCGCGGGGATAGATCGATCTAAAATCTATGGGAATAGAGCCTAAAGCATAATCTGTAGTGGAGCAATTATATGAGGTACCCTCTTAACCAGCCATTTGTAATCATAGGTGGGCATTTGCCTTAATGCAATTCTGGAAAGTTTTAAAAACAAAGTGTCCAAATGATTCAACTAAGATCTTCATCCACCACATGTCATAACCTTATCCATAAATGATTTAATACATTTACTTTTTAAGGCACAGTTGTTGTGTTTTTGCTAATCATACAATTAGGTGAATATTTTGTTGCCTTTTCTACATTTAGTAAAATTATCACCTATATTTTTTTTACTTAATTGAATTTTTCATCATTCTTCCCCACCAGGCAACCTAACAAATTATTGGTGGTATGGACAAGAAGAAGTCGTAGGAAAGCCACCGAGGTGGGTACAGTTCTTATGATAATATATATAGAGATAGTGAAGACAGGAAACTAACTTATCTTGGTCTCCAGGCTTTGTTTACTCATTACCAAAATGAAACCACTTGACACTTGGACTCCGTGTTAAACACCAGGAAGATTGTGATTATCTTTACAGTGGTTTTAGCACAAGTCGTTAGATTGGATTCTTTAGTAACATATTGATAACAATATAACAAACAGAAATTTTGTTGCATTGCATTACCTCAGCAATGACATGTTATTGGTGAAACCATGCCAGAAATTAAAAAAAAAAACCAAAAAACTCCAATATATTTTAATTCAAAACAATGCATTCAGTCAGTGAATTTTTATCTGTTATATTTTTTTACTGACTTGATTTTATATTGTACCTTTCTGTATAAAAAAATTGAATGTATATTTACATTTTGTCTACATTTTTTGTGGTTAAATCATTTGGAGCATTTTTTGTGCGGTAGAACACCACTCCTATACACAGGTTCTTTTTTGCCAGGTTACTTCTAAGATAACATTACAAAGAGACATGTGAATGACTCCCTTAGGCTCTTTTTAACACGTTTTTTATTATAATTAAAAGCTAAAAATAGAAATACCAAAATTTTGGATCAAATCCATTATATGCTGGAAGGATACTTTTCTGTTGTTAAAAAACAACTATTTACAGCTACAGTTACTGAACCTTATTTGTACCCACAACATGTAAAAAACTTTTTATTAAAAAATAATTTCATTTTCTTACCAAGAGACATTCTGATTGTATGATATATCATAAAAAAAGAATTCTTTTCTATCCACTCCTTGTTTTTTACAGGCCCACCAGTGGGAGCCCACCATCAGGAACCCTTACCTAGGCTCTGTGGTGTGGTCAGTGCCTGAGAATGTGGAAATACAAGTCACTCTGTTCAGAGACAATAAGCAAGTGGAGTTTGAGGATAAGGACTGGACATTTGTTATTGAAGATGTAGGTATCTGTATTAGTTAATTTTTAAAAAAATTGAATGGAAACTTGGTATGTTGTAGGTGAGATAATTTATCTGTGGATAATTAAAAAGTGTAACAATATTTACTTTGTATTTTAAGTGTGTATGCACATTCATATACATTCACCTGTTACAATTATTGGAATATATTTATGGCAAATCAGTTATAAAGTTAGCTTTTAAGTATCTGTTCATTAGATCCATTAATTTATGAATTATTAAACAATCTACAAATTGTACTTAGTGTAGCTTTTAGCCAAGAAAGAAGCTCAACTTTTATAGATATTTATTGTAAATTTGTCAAATTTTGTATATTTACAGCAAGACAAAAAAGGGAGACGAAGAGTCTTAGCATCCAAAAATGTGAACATGAAAGAATTTGCCAGCCAGATTCCCACGCAGACAGAACTAAAACTGAAACTGAAACCAGCCTCCAAGAAAGTGGTTTCAGCCACCCTTCAGTTAACAGTGTCATGTGTGTTCTTGAGGGAAGGAAAAGCTACGTAAGTGATAAATCTGTCAGTTGTTAACATAGAGAAGTAGTTTCAGTAGGAATTATTTTCCCAACTGGTGATTGTGATGAGTCTTTTTGCTTTATGATAATGAATGCAGGCCTCTTATATCATAATTCTCAGTCGGTGTCAGATCTGAATAGCATACATGTATGTAATGATTTTACATCATTTAAGTCATTTCAGCTGCATTTGGTTTATTCATCATTTATCAGTTGCAGTTTCTAAATGAAAGTAATTACTTATCTCATTCCCTTTTATAATGGGAGCTGATTTGTCATTTTCAGCTGCAACTGGTTTATTCAGTGATAATTTATAGATGATAATGAAGATTTCTATTGTTGATCACTTTCCTAATGGCGCTGGAATAGTGATTTGTCATTTGAATAGCCTCATTTAAATGAAAGAAAGTGAAAATACTGTTTAATGTCAGTTGCTTTCATATTAAAAACTTATATTTTTAATATGATTTAATATCTTCTCCAGTGATGAAGATATGCAGAGCATTGCCAGTTTAATGAGTATAGGAAGACCAGATATAGGCAACATTGATGACTTTGATGATGAACAGGATGAGGCCAATGCCAGTAAATTCTCTGAACTTGCTGCCAAGTTAGATTCCCTGAATGATGAAGAGGATGATTTAAATCCATTTGGGGATCCCGATCTCCCTGAGCAAGGTAAAAGAAATTATCACAATCTTAAGAATGCCTGTACAATGCCTGTCATTAGTAGATAAAATCATATATTCTTAAAAATATTGAAGACAAGACATAACTGATTAAGTTTACTTTCTACAATGTTTCAGCAGCTTCCCAGCCTCCTATTTTTGCCACATGTTCTGGCACACCAAAGAAGAAAATCATCACAATTGCAGAGGGACTAAGTCCATTCGATGAGGAAGACAATGAAAATAACCCATTCAATGAACCAAGCAATCCATTTGAAGAATCTTTGGACTCTCTAAATCCATTCAATGAAAATAAATCTGAGACAGCTTCAAAGAATCCCTTCGAGACTTCAACAGAGGAGGAGGAGTATCGCCACATGCACCCGCTCAACAGAAATGCCTCATACGATAAGAAGGGGAATGTAGAGAGGCCTATGTACACTGGCACCCCGCCCGCCACACCCCCTGAGGAGCGCAAGGTGCTGAAGCCTATAACCCCACCCAGTACCCCACCTGAGGAGAGAAAGGCAAAGGAGCAGAAACTCAGGTATTATCATACAACCATAACTTAAGGCTCATTGCCATTGAAACCAGCTGTCTGCATAGATTGATCCTTCTCTGTGGGGACTCTCGCTGAATGCAATCAGTTTAACAGACTAACATGCCTCCTCCCTGTTGATTAGAATATAGAAAAGCTGGTGGTTATTGGAATATGTTGGAAACCAGGAGGTTTGTTAATTTCTTGAACTGATTGTTTTCAGTGAGAATCCCCACAGAATTGGATCGATCTACAAAGACCGATAGTTTCAATGGAAATGAGCTCTTATATTATCATGGCTCATGCCATTGTCTCATCTAACACAACTGATGGCAAGATGTACCAATCACCTAGTAAATACAGTCTTCGCTAAAACATCGACAGTTGTGTTCCCTTTCACTTACATATATAGCAGATATCTAACAGTTAGTATTCCTGAGGTTCCTGATATGAAGCTATAGTGATGACAATTTAACATTTTCTTCAATAACTTCAAACTTGATGTTAATTCCATATCTCTAGATTACAAAAATCCAAGACATTAGGACATACACCTCCCAAAGCAGACCGAGCAGCACTTGAGCCTTTGAATCTCAACCAGGTAGGTTTTGTGGTCTTTGGCAGGATTTGCACTTTTTTAATTTAACCAATTTTTTTTTGTTGTTGCTTTCTGGTCATTTGCAGTTACACATTGAATTATTTTTATGCTGATGTTCACTTTTATTTCTTCTGTAATATTGAAATATCAACCTTATCTTGTCAGATTTCAGTCTTGCCTAGTCAGATTAAAATTTTTATTTGTAATATTTTTTAAATATTTTTTGGCATGGCCATAATTGAAATTTCAATTTTGCCTTGGCCGATTTGAAATCTGATTGGATTTCAATCTGGCCTGCTGTTTATATAAAGCAACTCCTTCTTATCATGCTTTTTTAAATAAGTGCAAAACAGGGTTTTGGTTATAATCAATGATAATTAGCTACATTATCTTTTTAATGCAGCTCTCTTTAAGCAAGCATAGAACAGTAAGAGTAGCTTATGCATGATCGTCAAATTTTGCCTGGTTTCAGCAAACATTTGGAAAGAATAAAAGCTGAGTTTTAGAATCGGTTCATTAGACAGCATCCCTATTTACACATACACAAACACAGAGTATGGTCTTTAAGATAAGGGAAGCAAGTGATTTTGATCATTCATGCCCAGGCCTTATCTGAATTTTATATTTCACCAAGGCAAATTACTAGTCTTTTGTATTCCGTTCAGATAATTTTGAAGATGAAATTAGGACTAATGGCTTTGATACAATTTAATGCTCTCATGTTGTACACACTTAATTGAAATGTCGTGTTTTTTATGAGTGCATTAAGTAAGCCAGGTGTGTAATCAATTGGAACAGAGGTGTAGTTACGATGTGGAAATGTTTTATGGTTCGAAATGATTGCGTGATTTCCCAGGAACTGGTGATCAATTTCTGTCGTGGTAGGTTGTCGGTGATGGAAGGGAAACATGCAGCTCAACTTCTACAAATTGACAGCAATCACTCTGTTTAAGCATCTCGCCAGCACACAGTTTTTGATCACAAATTATTGATTTTTGAGCATTGGGAATAGCAATAAGTACCAGCTTTGCTGTGGTTATAAACACATAGGAGCAAAAAAAGTATCAGTTTTTGCCAGTTTGTTCTACTGAGTCACTGATTCTACTGTGATTGGCTGTATGGGTGCCAGCTTTGTCGAACCGAACAACATTGCAGTTACTGTGGCATCGGAGTTAATCAAGCAAAGAATTTAGAGGCAGTTTATGCAATCACAGCGATACAACTTCGGACCAACTCTTATGGAAAGCGAAGACACCAGGATAGAATAGTGGAATTATTCAAGCATTTTTGAAGCAGTTTTGTGACTTTTTTTCAGCCAGTAATGCTGTTGGAAGATAATATACAGGAAATGCTGCATAAAATTACTGGAATTGGTCTTGACTAATGTTGTTGTTGTGCTGTAAAAAAATAAGATGTTGGCAGCAGGAAAATATTGTTTGTGCTCCATCTTCAGGGAGGTATGAAATCATTAATGACTGTGATTTTTACAGTTGATATTAGTGATCTAAAAAAGGAATGATTGAAATTGAAATATTTGTATAAGCTGTTATATTTTTCAGTATTCAGTAATCTTTCTGAATGGCAGAAACTTTAGTATTAAAAATTTAATAGCTTTAGAGGTGTGAATCCAACAAAATTTTCAAAAATTCATTTCAGTGGTCTCTGAAATTGACAGTTTCAAAAGATCATCTCTACCAGAAGTACCTTCAATAACTCGCTCACACCTTGCAAGCGTCCTGTGAGATGATTATTGTTTCTTTCCCTATCCCTTTCTGGTGTACACAAACAATTCAATCTTTTATTGTATATCATTTTTCTATATATAAATTAATGATAAACTGATAATATTTTTATAAAGGAGCTCCCACTAAGTGACCAAATCAAATGGTTTGATACTTCCAAACATAGAAGAGGAACCAAGATAAGCCAAATGGCAACACCAACAATATAATCCACGTTTATTTTGCACCTTGCATATAGGTTGGAAAATATTGAGAAGCATATAATAAAGGTTTTATTATGTGGCAAATAAACAGTCACATTGCCGCCAGGTGAGAGTTTGCAGCGACCTCTTTAAGTGCTTAGCTAGCTTATTTCAATATTCAATTGAAGTGAAATTTTGGCCATGAATACCGACCAAATGCCAACATATTGTTTCAAATAGTATACCTAAACCATATTTCTCATTTCTTTTCAGAATGTTCCAGGAACAGGTCAAAAGTCCAAAGGTCAATTTTCGCCTGCCATGGATTTGATCACATGGTGTCAAGAGGTCACTAAAGGTCACAAAGGGGTCAAGGTCACCAATATGACAACATCCTGGAGAAATGGATTAGCGTTTTGCGCAGTCATTCATTACTTCAGGCCTGATTTAATGTAAGTACATGATGCTTGATTGATTTTCTATGCTGTTTCATCCGTTCTGCCTTAACGAAATCATTCCAGACTTGAGCTCAAGGGTCATGATCGGTAGTCCATCCCCTGCGTGCAATATTCAGCAAGTAGAAGGAAAGAAATTGAGAGCAGACTTAATTACAGGACTGTTTTCACAACAAGATTCAGCTTGGGGAAAGTGAATTCAAATTTTATCTTGATTGATTTCCAATTTGCATGGAGATGATTGTGACTTGCTCTTAGTGTTTTGTGTTTTCATCGTCAAATGGGTAATATGTTCGTTCTAACATGATCGTTAATGGCACTTTTGGGACTTTTTAAAACTCTGTTCATTTTACACCCTGCTTTGGAATTATTGTAAGCAATTATTGCTATTTTTTTATATTATTCATAGATAGTTCTGCCCTTGTGCCATTATTCCAAGTTTCATGTTCACAAGTTGAATCAACTTTTTTAATCAATGTTTCATCAGATATAATAAAGCATAGAATTATGACAGCTCACTAATTACACTGGTGACTATTTTCAAAGGGATGAAAAAAGTGTACAATTAGTATCTTTTATCAGTGATAAACCAACTGCAACACCCTATTGTGTCCGTTCGGCTCAAACCTCTGGTGCCACAGAAATTGATTACCTAGTCGAGTGTGTATGTACAAGTCATTATGGCCATCTTCACATCAGGAATACAGCTCTGCTAGCTGTAATATTCCTAGTAATTCAGCAAGATCCCATCAAGAAAATTCAATTCTTCACACAGGCAACTGGATGCATAACTTGCAGCATTGCTACTGACAGCTCTAAATGTCATTTTGCTCAGTAACTCCGTTAATAGAACAATAATATGGCACATTTACCACAAGGTTGCAGTCGAATGGCCAGTGGATGTGACGACACGGGCTATATACTTGTGTAATAGTTCTGACGGCTCCATTTTTTACTTTCAGAGACTTTGACAGTCTGTCTCCCCATGACATCAAGGGAAATAACAAAAAGGTGAGAGAAAGTTGAACCTCTTTGCATTGCTGATTGACTGGTTTGATTAAACTGTGGGCTCTGCAGTGAGTGTATTGTGACACCAGGCAGTGCACTCAATTAATACTGATAGAAAATTACCATAGCCAGTGGAGTGTGTGATGAGGCTACAGTTAGTCACAGTCAGTGTTAAAAATCAGACAACTTTTAGTAAGACTTCTGGTTCTGGAAAGATATTTGAAAAAGGGGAGTGAGAAGGCTAAGACTCGGATGAATAGTTCTATTTTGGCCAACCAGAAAAGGTATGTCACAAATTATGATATGTTCGGGAAAAAATGTTGGCAGTGAATCTGTTCATGAACATGTAGATGAATAAATACAAATGCACAAAATTGTAGCATGAGAACTTTGAAGTGCAAAAGCAGTTTGTGAAACACGATCTTATGCTCATAGCTTATTAACATTGACAGTCATGTTAGGCATATACTTGTACCTAGTTATATTTGTTAAATGTTTTTAAAAATCAATATTCAGAAGTATCCAGAGTGACTTAAACAAGATGTGTTCAATAAAAGAGTGAACATCTTGACTATGCAGCACACCACTGAAAAATTTAGAATTGAAATAAATTTATGGAAATTTTATCCCTGCTTCTCTTGATTACACATAATCCATAACTAATGAGCCAAAATGGATATTAAGAGTGCTTCTTCCCCATAACTGAACACTAGTTGGAAATTGTTGTTGGGAAAGAATTCCGGCTAATTTTGTAGAAAGCTTTTAGCTGCCATTTCCAGAATGAATATAAATGAAGACCATCACTTAACTATTATATGTTTTCTTATATCGGGTTGCTGTCTTAGAAATCAATTTGGGAAATACAAATGGAATTTATGGACAAGATATGATAGATTGATAGTAAGACATTAGGCAATAGATCAATGAATTTTTGAGTACTGTTATGTTGGCAACTCTGAACATGTAGTACAATTTCATTTTTCAAATCACAAAGCACTTTCAGATAAGGCCAGATAAGTTGGTAAACAGGGAAATATAGACAAAAAACTTTTTGTAATGTATAATATTACGTATGTACTAGTAGCTACATTTTAGGGTTTTCTTTAGAATTTTATTTTAGGGGTAGGAAACGCCAAATTTAACAGTGTCAGTGATTTAGAGCATAAAATACAGCAACTAAGATTTTCTAGGGGCCAGTTGTTTTTCTCCTTCTTACCAAAGCAATTTTCATTTTTTTTTCAATTGAAGAAAGTCTGATTTCCTCAAAATTAAGAGTTGAAAAAAAGCTAACAAGGAGCATTGCCTGGTCACCACTCACAAACCTGCTTACTTTCATATTTAAACTCCATCTTGACAAGTCCATTCATAGAAAAATGATGAAGCGATGATGGCGATAATGATTGTACAAGACAATTTTCAGATTTTAAACCTTGCCAGCTTGATGACTCCCCACAGGGGGCATTACTCCCCAGTGATCAGCCTTATCTTTTTAAACCAGCATCTGGTAGATTAAAAAGAGATGAATCAGATAATTGCCACTGATCATTGGAATTTCAAATCTGTCCGAAGACCTCCCTTTGTGCTGGGAAATTCAGATTAGAAAGTCCCCTGACCATGTCATTATGCTGGTAATGATTCTCGTTTTTTAAAGCAGAAATGACCACCTGTGTTTGATAAAAAATTCTCTTTGAATATGAAGAATTAAGATATCTCTGTGTATTTTAAATGCATTAGCAGACATAGCTGGAAGAAAGTAGTGTAACTGATTGAATGATTTTTAAACATATTTCAATCATATTTTTGTTTGTTTTGTTTTTTTTTTAACCAGTTAGGGACAAGAGTGGAATAGGGTTTTCATTTTTTGATCATTATTTAGATAAAGCTTCAAATTAATGAATGAAGATCAGTATAGAAATTGCAATTAATGGCAGCTGCAGAAAGCGTAATATATTTTGATAAATGAATCATCATTGCTACATTTGTCATGGTATTAGTACACATATGTATTTATTGATTGTCTTCAGTTTTCGTAATACTGAATCACAAACATTCGATGTTTTAGGCATTTCTTGTGGTGCCCAAGGTCTGTTCATACATAGGACTAAGTTTGACTTGAAATGGACTTAACTATATTGTTTGATGTCTTTTGAAAACCATATTCATTAACATGGAATTTCAAGTTCAAGGCACAATGGAGATTTACATGTAATATGTGTCTGATGACTTCACATGATCTGGTTTAGTCAATTTCAAGTCATAAGTATTCCTGTTTTGCAAGTATCTTGATGCCATTTGAACCATATGACAAACATGTTCTAGATATAGTTATTATATATTTGACTGACGGGTTATCATACAACATCACTGTATTTCTACAGGCATTTGATGCTGCAGCCAGCCTGGGCATACCAAAAGTCATGGAGCCATCTGACATGCAGTTACTAGCAGTTCCAGACAAACTCTCTGTTATGACCTACTTATATCAGTTAAGGGCCTTCTTCACGGGACAGTCACTGGAGGTCCACCAAATAGGGACCAGTGCTAACGAGAGCACTTACACTGTAGGGGAATTTGATACTGATAGTAGTGCTAGGATATCAAAAGAAATGTACGGTAAGGAAACAGAGAGTAAAGAAAAGAAACCATTCAGAAAGGGAAAATCACCCACGAAAGATAAGAGGCAAAGTGTAAAAGATGACACAACAGTCAAAAACAGCACTGCCAGAAAGGCACAGACTTTACCAAAGAGACTTCCTACTGATGAACGCTTCATGTACGACAGTAGGAGCTCTGAAGAGAGAAGTACGACTAGCGAGGACAGATCAAAGAGCAGTAAGAGCCCTAGTCCTGCTGTAGAACTGCCTGCTCCGGTGACACAAGTGCAATTAAGTACAGATAATGTGGAAAAGCCAAAGTTAATGACAAGGAAACAATACTACAATCCATTTGACTCTAGTGATGATGAGGAGGAGGAGACAAAGCCCTCTGCATCATCTGATGTTGTTGATAATGGTGCTAAAAAAGAAGAAATTTCTGCTACCCCTGCCGCTGCTGTTGCTGTTATAGAAAAGGAAGCATCAGCAGTTCAAGAGAGTACACCAAAGAGTGAAACCCAAGCTGCAAAGCAGCATAGATACAGGTAATTCTGCTTTTAATAATAATTATATCTTAAATAATATCTTAATCAACTTTGACTTTTATACTGAAATAGACTGCTTGAACATCAACTGTATTATCAGTATATGTATACTATTTTCAGTACTGAACAGTGATGGCAATGCTGGGTACATACTGGGTAGAGGTTGTTAACTGCCAGTAAACTGAACCATTGCACATGTAATAAGCTATGCTGTATTTTTTTCTGAGATTATGAAATATGTTACTTGTGTAGTGCTTGTGTGCAATTTTTCAATTTACTAACTTTTGCCCTGCCCAGTGGCCTATTATAAAGAGTCATAAATATTTAATTGGTCTCCATGTTTGTCAATGTTAGAAAGAAAAGGGATGCTCCAAAGCCTCCTGTCCAAATAGACTCGAGTGCCAAGGAGTCCTCTGACAACAAAGAAAAGACCAAGGAACAGTCTAGTACAAAGGTATACTTTGAAAGCCCAAGTAAGATGCAGCTAAATCTGATAGCTGTTATAATGGTAGTGGCATATATGAATAGAACTTATGTCTCCAATTTGTAGTTTATAGAATGAATTACACATTTATATTTAAAAAATCCTATTGGTCTCAATTATTTAAATTTTTTGTGAGAATTTTTTTTCATCAGTTTCTTTAAAATAATGCTGTAAGCATTAAATTATTGGAATATTTCATTCCACACCAGACTTGAAGAGACTACCATATTATTTAAATACTTATATTAAGCAAATCACATAGCATTTTGGTCTTATGTTCAGACTAAGAGCCGCCACTTGCCCAGTGTTCCAGCCAGTAAATCAGAGCCTGCCTTAAAGACGGTTGCTGCCAGAAGTCCTGTCCAGTCCCCGACAACACCACAAGAAGCTGGACCATACCAGGTACGAATCAACAGTGTACTGATGCGGTATATAGTACTCAATCTATGTACTAGTAGTTTGACATGCTTTCATATTATAATATATAGATATATCTAAAAAGAAATGGAATAACAAATATAATTTCATGGCTTCTGTTGAACTCCTACAGTCAGCTTATTTAAAGATCATCTACTGGACATGACAAGAAATAAGTCTCCATTTTCAGAGACAGAAATCCCGCCATGATGAGCTGAAGGACCGTGCCAGACAGCTCCTAGAGCAGGCCAGAATGGACGCCGCCTCTCACAACCATCCAGAAAATAGAACCATTGTCAGGGGGCAGGAGGTGACCACCAGTATGAAGGTAATACAACTATAGCTTCATATTAGTTAGGCATTTTATCCAGCTGTTACATTCTTTACTTTTAATTAAAACATTTATTTTACCTTCAGTCTTTGACAGTTGGCTTTGATTGATTAAGGACTGCGCTGATACAAGATGTCAGGCTTTAGAAGCATGTAAAAAATAATTTGATTTTCAATGACTCAGAAAATAAGCCTGGATGATATTGCAACTTATATTTTGATTGGTAAAACCACTGGGTTGACAGTAGTTACTCATACACCCTGCAAACTGCTGTTTTAGGTAAACGATGAAGTACGACAACAGCAACTCCGAGAACGTGCCCGCCAGTTGATCTCGGAGGCAAGAGCCAGCTCTGGGAAACCAGAGGTTAAAAACATCACTGAGATTATATCAGACAACAGCAAGAGGGCAGGTAAGAGTTATGACTAGATAAGGTATTGCTTTTCCTTTTACATTTATATTTAATATTTATTTGTTATTATCATTATTTATTGTGCTTAATATGATTTGAGTTAAAGTTGTGGAAAAAGGTGCTTTGATCATTTGCTTTCTTTTAAATGTTAAAGTTGTGTTTTCTGTTTATTGTTATGTATTTTTTCCCTCTGCTACCTAAAGTCCCTTTACTTATTTACATCTTTTCCTATAAAAATAGATCTAATTTGATAATAATGATAACGATAATAACAATTAATTGTAGTATGCAAAATGAGCATTTCAATGAACTTTCAATGAAAAAAGCAGTTACTTGTAGATATTTTCCTTTTATATAGTATGCGATTATTAAAAAAAATCACTGAACAACAATTACTAGCATATATTGTATTAGCAAGAATGACAGATTGACATTTCCATGTATGTGGAGCTGATAGTATCATTACAGTCATCTCTCAAAGTTGATTTTTCTTTCATTATTAAATCATCCTGTCATGTCCAATTTCTCTCTCCTTCCATCTTGGTTGGCTGATCATTGTTTATTGTGGTGCTGGCACTGGTGAACAGAACGCTTGGGTGTTAAGTTCTACCAGTTTAAGAGAAATTCCTTGGGCAGAAGGGGTAATTTCAATGTGTACTGACTATGCAGCCTTTTGATAATAATTAACGTAGGACTAGTGTGTGAATGTAGGCATAATTAATAGGGCAAGCATGAGAACCTGTTACTAGTAGTTGGTGGGGTATTAAAAGCATGTGCTTTATAAAGAAAGAATGGATATAGTTTTACATTTTTTACAATCAGGTGACAAATATTGATTTTTTTGTGAGATAGTTATTGCACTGCAGTAGTTAGAAAATTAGACTTTTTAATAGAAAAACTACAATGAATGATTTTTAGATGTGAAGAAAAATTTGCTTAGAGCATTAATACCCTTACCCTTTTTAAAACCTGCATCTGAAATTTAAACAGTTCATCAAGCATGAAGAATTATAACCAGTTTTAGCTAGTAACAGTAATATATTTTAAGTATTGATGAAATTAAAAGCCTTCTAGCATAGAATGTTCACGTAGCTATTTCTATACGAAAGCCAAACCCAAAATCTCTAAGAATATTGTGCATTTGAGTAAAACTAATTCCAAATGCTTTTTCCAGAAAATAAGCTGTCAGCTTTGCCTTTAATATTAGCTTTTTTATTGGCACAGTCGTGCTTTGACTAATATTTACAAAATGTGATAAGATATATCTCTTCTTAGAACAGGGAGTGTTTGTGCTATTATGGTGTTTCAGTTTTCATTTTGAGGCAAGCTTGCATGTTACAACAGTATCCATTAACTTACAATGCAGATGTGTGGTTGTCTAGCTTGCTTCTTCCAATGATGGAATGTGTGATGATTTTAATACCATAATATATCAGATTGGATTAAAATTTTGTAACATGAAAGTTTTGCATAAGGCATATATTATTAACTACTGTTATTATGTTTAGGGTACATTTTGTTTATGAAAGTTTCTTGTAGGTAAAGTCTTTATAGTTGCTCTAAGTGCATTTTGTATTTAAATTGTTCAAGTATACTTACGTAGGTTATTTTTGTGTAAATAATATTGGCTCTTTAATGAAAATTCTCACTCGTTACGTAGATGTAGAAACATCTGAAAAAGATAACAACCCCCCTGCAGCAGATCCAAGTACAGCCACTGATGGCCGCCTGAAGAAACTGATGCTGTCTCGTCCACAATTAGCAACAACCCTTGCAACAACTGCAGCCAAGCTGGAGGCCTCTCAAAATGTAAGTAACAGTTCACTTAGTATGCAAACACAGAGATAAATAAAACAGAGTTTTTTCAATTTTCATATTGAATTTCTTATAAGTGGTTATACAGTGGTTATGCATTTTAAGAACTGTTCATGTTTATGGAATAAGGACAACATTTTTGAATGTGGCACTTTAATAGATCGACTTGTGACTTGTTAGAAATTTTGTTTTTTATGATACAAGGATTGTAATTTGAAAATGAGGGATGACTATCAAATTTTGATTTTGTGGACACCATTATCTTAGATTTTGCATGTTTTAAACAGTATTCACACATTAGATATTAACTACTTGTAAGATCTTTGATGTGATACGTGTGCTTTAAAGAGATTTCAAATTTTTTTAGAAATATTTTGAATACTAAAAATATTTCAGTGAACTGCACACTTGGATACCAATGACTTTTTCAATTGCTGTATATTTTAGAATACTAAAGAGGAAATTAGGCGACCATCTGGTGAAAGAACTTCCCCTGTAAAACCAGCCACACCATCTAAAGGTAAAAACTTATCTTTCATATATGTTGCCAGTGTTTTTTTGATGTATTTATTTTTGTGAACTGAATATACTTCATACAGTAATGTGAATGCTTGGAAAAAAATCAAGATCATGATTATGAAAAGATAATGGTGTTTAAATAGAGAGTGTTTCAGTAAGACAAGCTCTTAATTAGGTTTATGTTTTTATTTTCTTTTATTTTTCTCAGATGAATTGAACAGTGGTGGGGAGTCCGAGTCTGAGGGGGAATCTGGAGAATCGGACAACATTGAAGTATGAGGAAGAGTGTAGATTTATAATTGCACTCTGAATATCCATAATAATAAGATAATCTGATGATTATTCCACTTCTGAAAATGTTTTATAAAAGAATGCTTTAAAGGATAAAACTTAATGTTTGTAATTTATTGTTCCCTTCATATAACTTTTTGAAAACTTTACATGAAATTTGTTTTGAGAGATTTTTGATCATTTACTGAATTCAGGCCATTGTCCAAATAATGTGATTTTGTTCTAGTGAAAAAAAATTGTAAATACACATGTTGTTTACAGGACTTACTTGATACCAATGAATATGTGAACAATGAGATGGCTGCCTTGGAGCGGGAGCAGAAACAGATAGATCGCAGAGCGGCAGAGGTGGAGAAAGCCCTGCGTAAAGTCATGGATGATGGTAAGTGCAAGGGACAGAAGACTAACACCCAAGAGTTTAACATTAGACAGTATGTACATGATGCTGGCTTCACTACATGCACAGTAAGAGAGAGAGATGTTTATGTGTTCTGTTTTTTCTTGCATTTTTCCTTTCACTGAGTTTGATGAAAGTGTAGAGTTCAGGGAACAGTCAATGTTCACCTGAATCAGATTTTTTAAATATCATGTTAAAAATTGTTATATATTTTGATAAAACGTGTAATAATAGAGCAATGCCTAAATTTGCTTTTGGAAAAAATGAAAAAGAAAAAACAAACAGACAAACAAACTGAACACTGTGAGCATCTCCTTGCAATGATTAACTTGGTTCCTGTGCATGCTAGACTAAAGGCGCATTTACACTGAAGATAAGTCGACCCTTTTTCCATACAACACTGCTCTGTGGGTTGGCTGACTAAGCTAAGCTCACCATAACTATAAGTAAAGCAGCAATGTGTTATATCTCTTTTCTCCCGCCCCACTGCCTTTGCTGGACACAGCATATGACCAACTTTACAGATCATAACATGTGACAGTCTAAATTTTGAAAATAGAGAGATGACATTTGCTGCCTATGATAAGTTCAACTTAGACAGTCTGTTGGCAAAGAAGGCTGGTACATAGAAGGGTAGACCTCTCCCCATGTCAGTGTGCCTTTAAAATGAAGTTAGTTTTTGTAGTGGATGGTGGAGAAGGTAAGAGTCTGGTAGTAATCGGCCTGCATGATCAGCATTGGAGATATCCAGTTAAATGGGTGGAGAAGTTGTTTATTTATAACACAAATATAAAAGCAGTGGCAGAATTAACCTACTGTAGTAAAATCTACTAACAATACCTGTGTACTCGACAGGTAAGTGATGTCTTTGGTGATAAGCTGGGATGGGTCAAAGGGCCACCGAGGCGAGTGTCTGGTCTTGAACCATGTAAAGTTAGTGGAGTACTTGCACTTTGCATGAGCTCAGTATTTATGTGCATGATGTTAAATTATGAGTATTCTGTCACAAGGAAAAGCAACAGGGAGATACTTACATTGAATAAAATGGCACATCACATCCTTATTAACATTTCCATTTTAATCATAACTACACACTGCAGGCTTTTTTACTAAATCAAATGAAAAATTATCTCCTGGCAGATTAGCAGTTTTATGCTTACAAATATTTGAATGAAACTCTAAAAATAATTGTTAAGAGTGCTGTGCATGTGGCACTTTCCTGCAGTAGAAAAATAAGGACCTGTCCTGCAAATATTTAGCAGTACTAACTTGGAGTGAGTATATCTTAAATTATTTCAATTATGGTATATGTGTGTGTTCGATATTATTATTGTTCTTCATGTTGTACATTCTCCTTGTGTGATTTGTAAATTTGTCTTCTTGCTTTAAAATTAATTTATCTCTAAAGCTGATTTTTCCCTTGCTTCTGTTGCAGCTGTTTCTGTTATTTAGTATCCAATCATAATTCATGTTTTGTACAGATTTGAGCTTGATTACTTCATAATATGAGGGCATGTTGATCTTTGTGTCCAATATCAATGTTATGATTCTTTGCAGTGGCATAATTTATCACATCTTATTTCTCAAGACATTTTGGTATATATTGAAATTTTCTATTTATGGTCTGATTGGCATATACAGAAATTGAAGCATTTTAAACTACAGAAAGCATATAAAAAAGAATTTTAGATATTTTGGCACATTAAATGTTCTTTTACTATCAAAAGAATTGTAGTCAATTTTAATGTTTTTTAACCATTTTAATATTTCTTAACCAAGGAAAATTTCACATTGAAATTATTCTCCCAAAAAGCCCCATTAGGAAAAAAACATATGCCAAATTGTCTTAAAATGCAATACACATATTTGGCTGATCAACCATTAGTTGTGTTTGTGTTGTGCTTTGCTGAGTACAGACCTAGATGTGCTTGAACCCATCCTAGACCCAGATGAACGACACCGTAGTTTGAGGAATCCAGACTGCATTGAGAATGGTAGGTGGTCCAAGGATTTTGTGGAACAAGGTCACACTGCATTTCATTTGGTAATCGAGTTTAATGGAAATTGCAAGCTTAGAGAAGTCTGACTGCTGATGGTGCTTCCCCATATTTGTGATCAGTTCTTTTTGATCATTGTTCAAGTCTAACTTGATAGAACTTGGGTTGGTTGGTGGAATATGAAGAATTTTCAATGCTGATCATTGATAAATAGCAAGATGTATTAAGTTTATGGTAAATAAATTACAGATGAATGGAGAAGTATGTTGATTTGGGCCAGTTAGTCCACTCCAGCCTCCATATAACATTCTATCATCAACAATTGGGTTTTTATTTATAAAAAAGATTGACCAAATATTCTCTTGGACTTGCTGCCAATTAGCTAGCTCCAGCAACAAATACATATTGAACAGGAATTCTATAATGAAGATATTTTTACATGAGAATTAAAATGCATAGAATACCACATCTTATTGTGTTTCCAGGTGCTAGCAAAGCTGAAGAAGAACGTCTGCTGCAGGAATGGTTTCTCCTGGTCAACAAAAAGAATGCTTTGATTCGTAGACAGATGCAGCTGAATATTCTGTAAGTGAAGAGTGGCCCTTCAAATTAACCTTGGTCTTAAATGATATTTATTTTATACTCATAAAATTTCAAATTAATGTTTTATTTATTTTCCACACTAAGATTTTTTGCCAAAATATGGCACATTCCTTGAAAACCCTAAAGAATAGAATGAAACAAATGTTTAAAACCATGATTTTTAGTGTGTAGTTATTATTATTGAAACATAATATTAATTCAAGATAATAGGTAAAAAATAATAAAGATAATGAAAAATACTTTCATGACATCAAAGTAGCAAGAAATGAAACAAAAAGTGTGCTGTACCACAAATACAGCAGTTTGAAAAAATGGCCTTTCTTGACACTGAGAAACACAATCACTGTCTCACCCAGTGTGCTGCCACATCCATGGTGGACATCTAACACAATCAGTAGGCTTTGGTTCTGAATGTAGTCATTCAGCAGACCTCTTCAGCATTGTATAGACGTGGTATTTTTGTCCTTCATGTTATACTTTTTGATTTTATTTATTTTATCGTTTAATTTAATTTAATTTTGTTTTATTATTTAGTTTAATTTTTTTGCAACATTTTGTCAGTATTATGGTACTTCGTTAATATTTTTGTTGCTAGCCAATTGTTTTCAAACTTTTTAATGTGGTTTTTGGAAAAGTCAAGTACGCAATTTTGAAAGAAAAAAAAGAGAAAGTTTATTTATGTATTTTCAGAAAGAGGAAATAGATAGCCAATAACAAATAAGATAATGATTTACATTGCATGCTTTTTAATGGTCATATTTAATCAGTACATGGAAAAATAATGCATTAAGAGGATGTTTTTCAAAGAAATACGGGAGCATTTCTTTGTCAAAGATCGGACAAAGGGTATAAATGTTTTAGGTGCTGGATGCAAAAAAATGCTAGGTGGACAATTTTTGTGATAAAATTTTAGGATGTGAGCTCAACCTTTACTAAACACACCCATCCTAATGATTTATTGGAAAAAATGTCTTAAAATGTAACTGAACACTTGATATTCTGTCTAGGTTTGTGATTGTTTTTAATCATTAATTTTTTTATGTTTTGGATAAATTATGAAATGCATTAACCTTAAATTATGAGCTCTATTTTATTTCATTTTTACAGTAGAATTATCAGGACATTTTCACAGACAGGATTTTTTCTTAGGCTTCGTTCACATGCAATGTCTATTTTCTATTTTCTATTTTCTATTTTCGGTATGTCTTATGATCACGGTCTGTGCACTGAATATCCCGCGGCGTAATTACTGGCAGCGCGAGCCAGGTACTATAAGTAACTGGCTCGCGCTGCCAGTAATTACGCGGCGGGATATTCAGTGCACAGACCGTGATCATAAGACATACCGAAAATAGAAAATAGAAAATAGAAAATAGACATTGCATGTGAACGAAGCCTTAGTGATTTTGCTTTAACTGCTCCCAGATCACTGGTCACTTCTAGCTATTTTCTTAAAACCAAAATTAAATAATGAAATATATGGATACATAGTGTGTTAAACCATATGCTTATTTTTATCCATCAAAAATTAAGTAGTTTTTGCAACTTTTTCTACTTTACAAACTGTGAAGAAATAGATAAAACTATATTACTTACTGATGTGAGAAAACTGGTAGAATCCAAATACACCAGAAAAAAATGAAAGAATTCATTTCAGTTTCACACTGAAAGTATGTTATCAAACTTGCAATGTTCATAAGAAATACCAAAAGCCGATCAAAACAATAATAATTTTTCTTAAGAAGATTAATGTTTATCTTGATATGCAATGAACTGAAGCAACCCTAGCTTTCTAAAATACAAACAGAAATATTAGAAAAATAATTCTGGGAAGCAGAGTTAAGTCCTATGTAATTATTATGGAATATTTATAAAAGATTTTTCAGTTTTTATAAATAAGACCATTATGGTAGATAAACAACGTTGCACTTCAGTGGAATTACACTGCTCGATGTCAAATCTATACCCAAAACATTTTTAACAAGAATGAATAATTAAATCATGTATTATGAAATAGATGGATTTATCTTCCGTTTTTATCTAGTAGAACAGACTCCACCTAGTTGCAAGGACGGCACACAGACAGGAAATAATGAGCCAGCGAGGGTAGAAAGTTGTAACTGTGGCAGGTTGGCATGTTTACACAGACAACACTCCGAATAAAATAAGTGAAGGCTGGGATTTTGTGTTGGACTAATGTGCTAAAGGCTTGTTGTTATTTTTGTTTAGGCCTTTAGACTTATTAGCCCTCATTTAGGGAGGGGAGGTTGGGTAATAGTGAACATACGCATCTAAGACCCAGTCTCGAATAATTCCACCCCCATTGTCCGTCGTTATATCATTTTGGGGCGACACAATGTTTAATAACTGACTGTAACCAGTTGAGTGGAAGAGGACCCTTTAGTTTATGCTGAGGCAGTGTGTTTTACCTGGTTTCTCTAACCTTCCCCCTCAGTCCAGCTTATAAACTTAATCACAATGAGGGACATTATAATACCAAACAACACATTTGAACTGATCTGTTTTAATAGAGATTGGGAGAGGTTTTCTAGCCTTGGGGGTCACTGGCCCCGGGGGCAGGGGGGAAGGAGTAGGTGTAGTTAGTGCAGACACAAGTCAGGAAGGAGTTTACTGTTGAATTCAAATACGGGGCTCCAGCCGTCAGTGGGCTGTTCACCCGAGAATAAAAACAAGCAAACAGTGGTAAATATTTTCTCACCTATTACCTCCATTATTTAATTACCATGCGAGAAACTTACATTTATTCAATTAATGTGAAGTGGACGGGTATATCGGGTTGTCAGGAAAATATGACTGGTGTCTGTGCTGGCTTTACACAAGTTACAAGCGATGTTGATTTGTCAGGGACGGCTATTGTGTGACTTGATGCCAATGGAGCCAGTCTCGCTGGACGGTCCTGGTGTACAGTTTACTTAACAGATTTTAGTGTACATTCATTGACCAAGTCCTGACCACTGGGGTCAGCAGGTGCACCCATTGTTCACTTTATCTGAGGAATTGAAATGTCACCATCATTTGTCGTGTAATGCTAAGAATCATATGTAAGCGTTAATTACATTTTGATAAAACAATGGGACTGGTCGTGTGTAATTAATGCATTGGCTTTTTATTTGTTTTTGATTAGATTGTCACCAATAATGGAAGATTATGTAAGACAATCAAAATTTAGATTAGGAATATTTATTAGATTCTAGGTGTTGTTAGAGGTCTACGTTAACAAAAAAAAAAAAATAATAAAAATTTCTTTAAATAATCTATTTAATGATTTCATTGGAGATGAGACTTTGCCATTTTTTGGAACTTTCAAATAGTTTTTATTATACTTAAAAAATTGATGTTTATTGGGGGGAATATTAAAGAAATTTAGTTGGTTAGCCATATACCTTATTTGGCTGGATTTAAGAGTGTGACATTTGTTTACTCATTTGCTTCTGTTTGTTTATGGAAATGTCAATCACAAATGAGATAGGTGTCTAAGAAAAACATTAAAATGAAAAAAAAGTTGAGGACAGATCTTCAGGTGTGTTTTGTTGAAACATTTGGAATGGCTTCTCATTACTGATTTCTGATTTGCCTTTATTTTTGTTACAGATTAGAGTAACATCAACAACAGCACAGTGCCTAAAGGAAACATTATTGATATAAAAACAAAGTTTGGGTTAAAAGAAAATGTCATGTGAGAAATATGTTCTTATGAAAGAAAATTTGAGGATTTCCTCCAGGTCAAGTGTTTCTCATTATTTTTTTCTGAGTCTGATTTTGCCAAATCAAAACTTTCAAAATCTACAGAAAAAAATGTCAACCTTAAAAAATTTAACCAATGGGATGGGTAATAATTCATTTAGAAAATTTAGTTTAAGTTTTATTTTTTAACATTACAAAATCCTAAGATGTGGTTTATAAGGTGAAAACTTATAAGAGCTACAGAGAAAAATACCTATTGTTGAAATGTTTTTGGTTTGTTTTATACTCTTGAAGGTATCCAAAACTAAACTAAATTTATGTTTAGTAATGCTGTTGACCAATCTATTTAGTGAAAGCATGTCATTCAGAATGTCAAAGAAATTATATTCACATTTAATTTGTTTGTTTAATAGTCAGAGCCATTTAATTGTCCACTATTTATTAAGCAAGGTCATGTTTTGTTTGAATCATTTACCATATTTGGACAGCATTTTGACAGGTTTTTCAAGAACCAAACGTGTTTAACCGTCCAGCTATGTCAATGTAGTGTAGCACAGCAGGCGCTTTGAGTGGGTCCTGTCGCCGTGTTTACACTGTATCCATTTCAAGACCGTAGAAAGCAAAGCATAGTGTCAGGAGTACCTCAGTCTGTTTGCTGTAGGTAAAGTTCATTCTCTGAAGGACATGAACCCAGAACAGAGACAAAACAAGTGTTGATTTAGGGAGACTCTTTCCAGCCCTATTTCCACAGTTCCCAGTCAATATTTCACTGCCCTCTGTCACCTTTATATTGAGGAGGTTCTGGAGACGTGCATGGAGCACACAGAACAAAACCACTGCACAAATAGAGGCACCTAACGCGCACATAACTGAAGGCGAGGGGTTGTCACCCTCTGTCACTCTAACACATTAGGCTGTTTTCTAACCATTCTCTATCTGTGGACTTGTCAGAGATTTACTACAATGCATGTTTGGCTCTCATTGTGTCGGTGTCAGGACTCAGATTGTGCCAGCAAAGTTTGCTTTTTGACTTAGCCTGGCTTGATCTGTTTCACCATAAGCACTTCATCACACCTTGTCTGAGGTGGCAAGTTTGCTACAGTCTCTGTGTGTATATGTGTGTGTGTGTCCTGTCCATGCAATGTGAGGCAGTGGTACTATATACACACACACACACAGGCACAAACCTCATAAACTGATACAACGTTAGGATCTGGTGACACAGCACCAAACTGTTTTTGTCCCGCACTTGCTCGTGTTACAATCAAAATATTAATTCAT